TTGCCACGCATTTGACATTCACTGCCTCTACACTGCCTTCACTGCACAGCCATTGCCTCACAAACCCCTATCCCTAACCATCCCTACCATCCCATCCACCGGTCCCTCACTTCACACTCTTATCTAACAAATTAATTGCCATTTAATACACATTTTAAGTCTATTTTGCGCTGAATTTTATATTATTTTATCGCTATTTATATGCGATTAACGTAACAATCGATACCAAAAACACTTGAGTTTTAAATACAATAACAAGTCTAATGTTGTTTACGTATGGGTTGTCACCACTCCTGCGGTCGATCCGCAGACCAATTGTGCGGACAATTAGCCAAACATTTCAAATTAGGCTTAATTTATGTATGAATTAGTGTTGTATTGCATTTAATTAGCACTAACTTAGCGTTTAATGCCATTAAATATAACAATTGAATTGACACTTGTTTTTGCCGGCAATGGTTTTTCTCGTTTAGTCTCGTCTTCAAGCGATGCCGAGATAATGAGTGATTCGGGCTTTGATTCCGGTTTCCAAGAGTTTGTGGCAAACATTGATCCGAAAGAAAGCGATTCGACGAATGATAACACAAACGATAGTCAGAAATACGGGACGAGTGGTGAAGAGGTCGGACTCGCAGTGACGGCACACAGCGATATGATAGGCCTGGAGGGGTTGGTGGCCGCCTGTGCGAGCGGTGCCACGCATTTAGCGGTTCCCAAAGGGTCTGAGTTCGAGGACGTTGACGACGCGGCCAGCGATGTGAGCGATCTGTCGTGTATGAGCTGTCTGTCGGACATGAGTGGCCAGCAATGGAAGCCCATCTCAGGACCCGTGGCGTGGATTCACAAACAGATGTGCAGCGGAACCGATCCGAGGACTATACTGACCGAAATGGTTGCCGACAATACACTTATTCCCAACAATTTAGACAATTTGACGCTTTGGAGGATTATTGTGAATATGTTGTCCGAACCGCCGCCGCGACGCAAACTGTCCGCAGTTAACACTTTGGATGATTGCATTCAACTCATCAAAAAAAGCAATCGCATACTAGTGCTGACCGGCGCCGGGGTATGACTTATCACACCATTTGCCGCCACAACTGTTTTGATTGATACAATTAAGACATTGTGTGTATGAAATGTATGGTTAATATCTAATGTCTGTATTGATGTATAGGTGTCCGTCTCGTGCGGAATACCCGACTTTAGGTCTCGGGACGGCATTTACGCGCGTTTAAGCAAAGATTTTCCCGATTTACCCGACCCTCAGGCCATGTTTGACATTCATTACTTCCGCAAAGATCCGCGACCTTTCTTTAAGTTTGCAAAAGTAAGTGATTTGAATGCTTTTGTGTGACCATTGATTGTGTGACTAAACCATTGGATGTGTTGTACGTATAGGAGATATATCCGGGACAGTTTGAGCCATCAATAAGCCATCGGTTTATCCGCATTTTGGAGCAGAGAAACAAATTGCTCCGGAATTACACGCAAAACATTGACACTTTAGAGCGGGCGGCGGGTATCGATCGGGTGATCACATGCCACGGCTCGTTCGCCACCGCCACCTGCACTCACTGTAAACTCAAAGTCGACGCCTCTTTCATCAAGAATGACATATTCGAGCAAAAGATCCCAAAGTGTCCGCAATGTCCCGACGATCCCGAGAATATGGCTGTCATTAAACCGGTAATTAGTGATGAGGTTTGAGATTTGGTAGCAATTATTGACCATTTTTTGTGTGTTGAATGATAGGATATCGTGTTCTTCGGCGAGGGTTTATCGGATGAGTTCCACTCAGCGATGTCTCGGGACAAAGACGAGTGCGATTTGATGATAGTTATGGGCTCATCACTCAAAGTACGTCCGGTGGCACTCATACCCAGTTCTATACCCGAAACGGTTCCGCAAATCCTAATAAATAGAGAGCCTTTGAATCATTTGACTTTTGACGTGGAGTTGTTGGGCGATTGCGATGTTATTGTAAAGCAATTGTGTGACAGGTATTACACCGTTTGTGTTACTCTTTGCCAGAATTGGGTGTAATTTAGTGTTTGCTTCGATAGATTGGGCGCCGAATGGGTCGACTACTGTCAAGGGTTTGGCTCAGCGGACAAATCGATTGAATCAAAAAAATCAGATGACTTTAGTATTGAAGTGAACAATAATACGAGTCAACAAATAAGCTCTTCTTTGCCTTTTGCTTTCAATACTACTGTCAATGAGTTGAGAGTTACAGATCATAACACATGCCATCAAAACGATAATAAATACAAACCCAGCGATGACTTAAACCCGGATTCCACTCAATCAGAGACACCCAAACCCAGTGACGATAGATTTGTTTCCCATTTGACCGGTAAATGCAGTGTTTGAGTGAATCTATGAATTGATTGTAATATTTATCTAACATTTTTCATAAATAGACGACAAATACATACATTTCCCTCCGAGTCGTTATATATTCAAAGGCGCGGAAGTGTTTGACAGCGACTTAAGTACTCATAAGACTGCCGGAGACGTGAGCGAAGACGACAGCTCTTCTACGAGCAGTTCTCTGTCGACGAACGCGTGTTCGTCGTCCTCGCCGTCGTCTTCATCGTCATCATCGCTGTCCACATCCGACTCACTCTTATCTCCGGTTAACTCCAATAGTAATAACTTTACCGATGCGTCGGAAACGACGAAAAATTGTTATTCATATTCTCCGACATTATCTCCAAAATTTTCAATACCTTCTGAACACGAAATTTCTAAAACATAATGTTTTGGTAATTAGTATTTTTCGACATTTTTAGTATAACTTTTTATTTGCTATTTATTATGTTTTTCTGTGATTTTAAACAAAAAAT